ATTGGTTTAGGGCATAGTTTTCTTGGATTTAAAAATATATATAAGGATACAGTGGTACACACATTCAAACTGGAAAAATTGCAACTGCAGGGCATTTGATTCCTCTGTTTGGATTCTGAGGGCAGAGTTTACTCTCACTCAGTTCAGAGCTTTTAAGTATGGCCCCTGCCACGTGATGATGCACCAGGAGGGGTTTCTAGCTTTGACTTTAGCCTATAGATTTATGCAGTGGAAGAGGCTGGAGGACCCTTCTGTCCAGTCTCGAGGGTAAGTAAGAGAAGGAGTTCTACTTATAAACCGTTACAAATTGGTCCTTAGTAGTGGCTGCAGTGTTGATCAGATGATTTAGGAGTCCCCCAGTGATTCCTTGGATAACAGCTACATGTAAGTCAACCACTGAACACTTGCTTGTAGCTGCTCTAGATTTTTGTTTTTACTGAAGGAAAAGGAGTATAAACATGAGACACACAGTCTAGAGGCTGCTTAAAGGGTTTCTCTCGTTTAAAGCTTATATTGAAATGTCAGTGTCTTGTGTTCAGCTAACAGTTGCCGTGTTGGAGCTTATAACGTGGGTTGCACTTGAGCACCCGAAGGGTAACTATTATTTTTTCTGTTACAAAACTGACTGATTAATAGTTGTGTTCATCCAGGTTTTATAAATTGGAGAGAGAGAAATGATCATTCCCCTTTGAACTGGCCTTAGACAAACAGATTTTGTTCTTGTAGCACATATTATAGTAAATGATTATCACATTCCCTTCTAAGGCAATGAGGTTGTATTGCAATTATGCATTCAGATTCTTTCCTTTGCAACATTTAATATTAGAGTAAATATTTACATTAGCATCAGTCTCTTCTATGTAGACTTGATTCCTGTTTACATTTATGTTCACACTTAAACGAAGATTAACAAATGGGAATAATTATTTTAGCTGAAATTTATATACATATGACATTATTTCTCACTTATACCCAAACCATCTTTAGTCATGCTTTAAAGTGTTCTCTCATTTATACCCAAACCATCTTTGGTCATGCTTTAAAGTGGTTGACCAGGACAGGAAGTTGCTGGCTGCCAACACATTCTCAGTGGTAAGAGCTTCACTCTTGCCTTTCCTGACATTGGACCCACAGTGCTGGCGGCACGCATGGTCCCCTGCACCAGGATACAAGAGAGAGGGGTTTTCTGTTTGTTCTGGAAAGGTATGGGTTTATATTGAAAGCTCCATACTCTTCTCATTCAGTGGGTTAATACACACTGTGATGTTTCTCTCTCTCTTTCCATGTGCTAGTTTCTGCTTTCACATGTATTTGGCTAGAATACTTTTCAGTCTAACGTTCAGAATTGGAGTTTTTCTGTACTTCATAATATTGCTCATTTCCTGTCTAACTTTTGGCATTCAAAATTTCAGTGTTGTAATCGATCTTTATTAGTAGGGTATAGAAAAGACAGTGCTTTTTTATTCTTTAATTTTCAAAATAACCTATAAAGGTAAATTATGCTTATTGTAGAAAATCTGAAGAAGATAGATAAGCAAAAAAGAGGAAGAAAAATCTAGACGTTTCTTCCATAGATGCCACCTATAACTCTTAATAAAAAATAGGGCTGCACTAGCCTATTACATTCTTAATGGAATATTGTAATGGTTGTTAAATCAGTTGACTCAGAATCTCTTTTTAATAAATGAGTCAGACTGTATTATTATCCAATTACTGTCAGTTGCTACCTTTCCAGAGAGCAGAAATGGTTACTTTGATGGAATTTTTTAAACTTTTGGCACCTTTAGGAAACAAGGTGAGAGTTGTGGCTTCCTGGGTAAAGTCCTTGAGTCTGAGGCTTAAATTGACCTGAAGCTGGAGGTGTTGACAGTGCGCCTCACGAACATGGACGTTTAATGGAAACCATGGTTACTCTGTACTGTTCTTGAGGACCTAGCAGATAGGAAGAAAGAAGGAGGGAAGCTCAGTTTTTAAAGGAAACAGAGCTTAACTGAGCTTGGCCCCCCAGGACTAAGGGTGTTTTCGAAATTCTTTGAAAATTAAGACACTGCCCTTTGCCACACAATGCAAGTATAGAATGAATGATAGCTGAGTTAAACAGAGACTAAGTATAAACTTTTGAAATTCTTATTATAAATAAGTTTCATTAGTTTGCCATTATTCTCTATCCCCCCCACTTCAATTTTTAAAAGTACAAAATAAATTCTATTAACCAGCTGTAACCATGTTTTGGGTCCCCCCCTCTCTCTCTCATTCATTATCATTTGACCCTGTGGTGATAAGTAAGTGTGAACATGGGAAAATGAGCAGAGAAGTTAACAACAGTGAGAGAAATGGGTGGGTATGTCCATTGTCTAGGTTGGAGCATCCTGGCTTTTGCTTATCTATCATTTGCTGTGTAATAATTCAGATATATTTTCTGTCTTACTCAAATAACTAGGACAAGTTATTTGTTGGAAAAAACCTCTATGTAACTTAGAAATAAAAGGCAGATAGAACGTCCAACGTTTTTTTCAACATTACAATGTGCTTTTAAACTATAAAGAGTTCTGAAAATGCTGGGTGCTATTGTTATTATCACTGCTATCAGTGCCCTCACAAAGCATGTAATTCATGGGAAAGAAGTCTGCACTAATAATGCATAAATACTTTATGAGCATGTGTCACCTTTTTGTGAATTCACTGGACTAAATTTTGATTATTTAACATTTTGTGATGGAACTTCTCTGTTCTTTGGATAGGAAATAAATAAAAATCTATGAGGACATTTTCCTTATACTCATATAAATATATCTTATTTATTTTCCCTTCTATTATTTTTCCAAACAAAATACTCATAGCCAAGAAAGATGACATCACATTGAAGATCACATTAACGTGCATAATTTACGTTACGTTCATGTAACAGTCAATCATCATCCCCAAGAAAACCCACCAGGCCTATATACGTTCCTTGACAAACGTTGCAAGTTTAAGAATTCTGGAACATATGTGTATAACTTCTCACACCCATAGACCACATCTTGGTTCTTGTGCAAAGCACATAATTTAAAGATGAAATTAGAACTCTTAGGAACCTTCTTACTATCACAATAAAGGTATACAGCACTGAGGAAATAGAAAACATTTAAATTTGGCAAGTATTTCTGACAATTAACTTACTGACCCAATTCCCTACAATAAATAGTGTTTCTTATATTATTCAATATCCAAAATTTTGAAAAATTTTGGTGCCTTTAGGATTAAAAAACAGAGAGAAAGGAACAGATGAAAAACCTTTGATCTTATGTAATCCCTAAAGCTTTTTGTATAACCCCTAGTCATGTCAGTTTGCACAATTAAACTCCTTCTTACATAATTATCATCAAGGAATTTACTGTGCCACCCAAATACAGAGTAGGTTTTTATCTCCTGTGAAATGTAGACAGTACTGGGTGGCTTAATTAGTGCTTTGCTTCTCTTTTTACAAATTCCAATCCTCTGCTTCTAAAGACTCATACTTGCGTGAGAAGAAAGATTAGGAATACAAATAGAGTGATTTTACACTAGTTAGCTAATAATAATTCACTTTGTAATTGGGCCTTTGTGTTGCCAGTAATATCAACTGGTGAAGGACTTCTGCATGCCTGTGGTGTTGAGTAAAAGGAAGTAACTTTGGAGTGTAGACTCGTTACCCCTACAGTGTAAATATGTCTTTCATTCCCTAGACCTAGACTATCTGACACAGATGGTCCTTAGTAGCATTTCTAATCTTTGCAAACAAGAGAAGATAAAAGTATAACTTGATAACATTTCAGGTTAAACTGAAGCCTCCTAGCCCTTACTTTTCCTAATGAGAGTCTTGGGAATAGCCGGTGTATGCCATAGTATGTCCGCTAAGATCATGGACCCTGAGGCCAGGCTGCCTAGGTTTAAGTTCTGGTTCCACCAAGTATTGCTCCTATGACTCAGAGCAAAATCAGCTCAACTCTCTGGGTGTCACTTTCCTCATCTGTAAAATGGGAATAATAGTAGTTGTTGTTAAATTCGATGAATTCATGTCTGCAAGCACTTAGAACAACGGTGTCTGGAACACAGTAAGCACCAAAGAAGTGTTAGGTTGTTCGTTCTAGTGCTATGGGTTTTCATTTCTTATGACTGCAAATTGAAACAAGTTAGAATAATCCTTAAATGTATAATTTCATAAACATTTTAATGAGGAAAACAACATAAAAAATAATGTTTTCTGTCTATAACACAAACTTTTCATTTTATATAGCAATTGTTATTACATCAAAATATTTTTCTACCTGTTCCTGAGATATCAAAGAAAACTCCAGGACTAGTCAAAAGTGAGCCTGGAGCTCATGAAAGTGCCTTTGGAGAAATACAGGCAGAGTCTAGATCTGAGGGTAAAACCGAAACTGTCTTACAAAATAAAGGGAGCAATGAACTGAGAAGATATGGGGGACTGGGAGTTTCAAGCAAGAAAAAAGAGCATTTATAAAACACTATGAGCATTAATAATATTTCAGAATTGCCAGAAAATCTTGGAAGTAGAAAAAGGAAGTCTTCAATGGGAAAACCACTAAAAACCTTATGGTTAGTAATAGAAACCTCTAGAACCTTCTAGATAAACCAGAGGAGAGGCCCGGGGAGAAGCTGTTCACTTTTCTATGGTTCCTTTATTTCAGGACTTTGGAAATACACAGCCCATACAATCTTGCTAGTTAGAGAAAAGGAGATGCCTCGTTATTGACACCCATCTTACTTTTAAAAGCTTAATAAAATGCATTTTTACCTCAAGATAAAACCTGCCTTGTGGTTATCGTTCGATTTTAAATTCCAGAAATGTTTCCAATTGATATAAATTCATAAATAATGTGAAGTAACCATATATACTACTACACATTTATATTGGGGGCTGGAAAGAGTTTAATGTATGCAGTTATAGTTAACTCACTAGTCTGTCAAAGATGTGACGGGTGTCAACTTTTCTGCTCACGCACTTTCCTTAACAGATGAAGGACTGAACCATGAGTGCAAACTCTGCAGCCAGACCTTCGACTCCCCTGCCAAACTCCAGTGCCACCTGATCGAGCACAGCTTCGAAGGGATGGGCGGTACCTTCAAGTGTCCTGTCTGCTTTACAGGTAGGAAGATTATTTCTGGAAAACTCTGGAGAGTTTCTCAGCCACATCCTGTCTTTCCTACCAGGGCATACTTCCCACTGCTATGGCCTTTTACAGATCTGACTTCAGTTCAATTTGGGAAGAAGACGTTTGATTTCTGCTGATTAGAATTATCGATTGCCACCTACTTTAGAGGCTCAAACGGTCAGGAAGGTGAGCTGTCAGGATGAACAAATGGCATTTCAGGTTCTCTCAGAAGTTTGCACTTTTCCATTTGTAAAATGACATCCATGTTTCATTCACTTTTCTCCTCTCGGTGTTAAAAGGTTAGCAAGGCAAAGGTGGCTTTTTCATCATAAGACATGGGACTAAAAGAAGTACAGCTGTGTTGTCAACACGTCTGTTATTTAAACGTGGAGAATTTTATAACATTCCCTCTATGAAATATAAAGGCGTTATTAAAACCCTCCCCCAATTCTTTGAACTAGAAAACAGATTAAATGAACACATTAGATGAGGCCTTTATTTCCTATGTCACTGGATTTTTAAAATAGAAGTTGATGTAAGTTTACACTTTTAAGAAGAAACTTTTATGAGATGTTGTAGCATTATAGTTTTCGGCAGCAGCAGCAAAAAAAAAAAAAGAAACATTGCAAATCAGAAACTATAATTTGAAGCCCATAGGGGTTGAAATATGATCACACACGTTTCTGCTGCTCCCGCAACAATGACAAAGTTATTTTGGAAAATCCTTTGTGATAATTTTGCCTGTGTCTTGGGCTCATTGGTCAAACCCCTCAAGGCTATGTTTCCTTCTTATTTGTCAGAAAAGGCAAAACAAAACAAAAACATCTCCTCTCAAAAGTGACTTCCTGGTTTGCGGTGTAAAATTCCAAAGCATTGGTATTAACCTTCACTGCATTCAGCCTGTAGATTTCTGTCCTGTAATAAAATAAAAAGAGAGAGGCCATGTTCCTACACAGTTAGCACAAGTAGTACCAGACTATGCTGGTGGTTCTGCCTTTACCATTTGCCTGTGAGGCTTCTTCATTCAATAATTCCATCAGCCACTCCTTATTTTGGAACTATTTTTTGATTCCTCCAAATTTGTATTTAAAATATTTATGTTTTCACCATAATGTAGTATTTGTCTTAATACAATGAGTCAGGAGTCTGGGTTCTTTATAAAAGCTCCTAGTTAGTCTTCATAAGGAGGACTGGGTCATAGATCTCCTCATGATTAAGACCCCTAATAAAACAGCCCTTTCATGTTGTGGCCAGGAGCCTCGTAAAATGTGCAAAGTTAGATAGAGATTTGTTGCAGATCAGTATAAAAACCCCATTTCTTTTGGTTGATGTAGGTAAGAGACAAAAATGCATTAATCATGAACGGTCTGCCTTTCCTGTGCTGACAGACCTGAATTGTTTTAGTGTATCTTGAAGTAATTTTAGAAAAAGCAATTTAAAAAAAAACAACCTTCCAATATAAAGCGTGTTGGGGGGGAGAAGACATCTGAGCAGTTTTTTAAGGTAATGAGAAATATGATTAAAATGTATGACTCACAAGAACAATATTCTAATATTTTAGGCTGGCTGGCAATTAGAATAATTTTAATGATTAGAGTCAAAGTCAAACACCAGCATCTTTAATAAATCCTTTCCCTGCCTATACAGATTAATATTGTAGATGCAAACTTTTTTAGGTCACAGTGCACCAGGCATCCATCAGAAGTCAGTTCTGCCAACCCAAACACTGCCTCTGGCATATACAATTTAATTATTAATAGTATGTCTCCTAGGTAAACTGTTACACAGTCTTAGGGCCTTGTTTTGTAGTCATTAAAATTGAACATGTTTATATTATTGAAACCCTTGCATTCAGTGTATAGGCTGAGTTGATCTTAAAGTATCCAAAGAGAATTTACCTGCCGTTCTGTTACACATTTATAGACAGTGCCCCAGAGTAGCTGTGGGATATAATTTTTAGCATTAACACATTTAAATAGAGAACTGTTTGGTAGCTATGACTTTAGGCAAATACAGTAAACAGGGTTTTGGCATCTATGATTTCTTAACCTATGGGTTGCTGAGAAATAAGAATCATTTCTGTTCAGACAGTGCTGTGCATTTGACAATTTTCATTTTAAAAGATTTATGGGGGGCAGGGCCTCGATAAACCTTTACTTTGGAGCTGTTTGGGTTCAGTTAGGTGCCCGGTAGAGTGCATCTTAACAAAAGCCAGAGACCCAACCATGAGCACGTGTGACTCACTCTCCCCAGGCCCCTGGCAGTGGTCACCCCCAGAAGGTATGCCATTCATTCTGCCCCGTCTGCAGCTGCTCACAGGGAGTCATGGACGGAGGGCATTTCGGAATGAAAATAACCCCAAGTTCACTCTTCTTTTATCATTGCAGTGTTTGTTCAAGCAAACAAGTTGCAGCAGCATATTTTCTCTGCCCATGGACAAGAAGACAAGATCTATGACTGCACACAATGTCCACAGAAGTTTTTCTTCCAAACAGAGCTGCAGGTAATATCCCCATGAGGAGGGCTGGCATTGAACTCAGTTGCTCTTCTTATAGGAAACAAGGGCATTTTAAATCTGGATTCACGGTATCACTCACCCTGGGCCACCATGATGCTTTGTGTGTACTGGGGCAAAGGGAAAATTAGAGGCCGGATTAACAGACACCAAAGTCATTTTGCCCCTGGCTGCTGTCAATCATAAAAAGAACTAGAACAGGCCTATAATTGGATCTTCTGACCCAGTGTGATAGACTTAGGGGTCAGGTTTACTGGACTGTAGGATCATTCACCTCACTTGTCAGGGCCCATTCTCCCAAACTCTGTTTTATTCATGTTCTGTTCCCACTGGGCTACAAGCTGGATGGATGTCCAGGTTATTGTTGTCCTGAGGGGCTTAAAATTGGAAGGGAGAAGGGAAGAGAAGAAAGAAGCTATACTCTTATCCACTGTGTTTCTTCTACGTAACAGAATAATTATTACTTAGTGACAGCCTTATAGTTGCAAATTTGGCACCCAAAGACTTTTTAGCCTTGAATGTCCCACTTGCTAGATGTGTGACCTTGCACTGGTCCAAAATGCTTCAGAACCTCGGGTGTGAAGAAATAATAGACAGGTGTAACACTCACAGGGCTGTCATTAGGTAAAAATGAAATAACAGGTCTGAATGTAGGGTATAAACTCTAAAATATAATAGAAATGTTTGGTCAGTTTGATTATTCTTAGCAATAGACTGGTGTCAGTCAGAGACCTGGATCCTAACCCAGAAATGTCCCTTATTGTAAAAAGAAAATAAGTCTATTTTTCCCCCTCTTACTTCATCTGAAAAATGGGTCTAATAAATATCTTCATTTTTCAGATGGAATGATATAAGAGTAACATGCCTTTGTTAAATCTTGTTGGTGCCCTTGGAGGAGAATGGATTAGAATTCAAAGTTATTTCATTATTGTGAGCATTATTATTATCAGTAAAGTTATTTAGACTAAAATAGGGTGGGGATGATTTTCTTTTTCCTTTGTTACTGAATTCCCTAAACAACCAGAAGAGGGTCTGATGTGATTGATGTGGTTGAGGCAGGACTAAGGGACCCAAAGCCCCACCCACTCCTTCATCTCCCATCCCACTCTGTGGACCCTGGGGCAGCTTTGGACCTCCTTGGGCTCTGAGGAAGCCATATTTATGTGAATTTTGTATCAAAATAAGGAATTTACAGTTTATCATCTCAGCTTTCATCCTACCAGTGAACAAATAGCAAATAAGGACGTCAGATAAAATATATATGAAAGAATGGGTGATGCTATTTAAGTGTTATAATGTGTCAATGCACCAATGTTAAAGTTGCTCTATTACTTTTCATCACTTCAAAGAAGAATTCTACTCTGTCACATCTGTTTGTGAATTGAATATAGAAGATAGACCAAGTTAGACTATTATTTAAAAGTATACTTCATGAAAGTAACCTAAATTTCTATTGGAAAATATAGTATTCTTATTGCAATAGGTATGGAAGGATAAGTCCTTTGAGTTTGTGAGATTGTAAAGGATATGGCTAGTACACCTAAATGATGCTGTTAATTAGTATGTAAACTGTGAAGCAGAATTCATAGTAGCTTAAAATCAGAGTTGTAGAGATTCTGTGGAGACTGGCTTCTTATCTAACAACGTTCCTGGAAAAAAAGTTTGCAACAAATCCACTTTTGTACTATATTAGTAGGTTCTAATGCTACTGACCTGCTGGTCACTTGAATGTCTTTCATTAAAAGAACCCCACACTCCAGCAGTGGTGGCCTGTGGCCCACTGGCAAGCAGACAAAACTAAGCAATTAAGCACATCCTTCAGGACTCCAGGTTTCTTTTATGGCATATTTTCAGGTTTCATGGAATGTACAGTATTCTCTCTTTCCATTACTGGATAGACCAGGGGTTCTCCACCTCTTTGATCTCAGGATGCCTTGAAACAAATTATTGAAGACCACAAAGGGCTTTGATCTATGTGGGTTACTATCTGTTGGTATCTTCCATATTAGAAATCAACATTGAGAAATGTTTTAAACGCAAAAATACACAAATAAACAATTCTACTATAGCTGTTGGAGAAGTTATATCTTCCAATGTCAAGTAGCCCCTAGAAGATGCCACTGTACACTCATGAGGTAATGAGAGTATAAAGGGCAAACATTGTCTTAATGTTATTGTGAAACTAGTCTTGACCTAACAGACTCCCTGAGAGGATCTAGGAGATCCCCAGAGGTCCCCCAGCCACACTATGAACTGCTGGTATAGAAGACATAGTACCGAACACAAAACTGTTTCTGAGTCTTTAAGACCTTATGAGGTCAAACATCTCTCAAAACATTTCTGACTCATTCATTCAAATTGTGTCCTGGGCCCAAATAAGACTCCTTTCATAATCCGAAGCTGTAGCCTTATTTTTCCAATCCCACAACTCAGGATCATACATATTTGGCCTTGATGTGAATACTCAGGCTTAAAATGTACATCATTCCTTTGATAAGAACAGTATTTATAGTTAATATGTGATAATCATTACAGCTAATATCCACAGTCATTGAAATATCTATGTAGGTCTGTTTTCTTAAATCCCTAGTAATAACAGTGGCTTTTAGTTTCAATGCATTAAGAAAAATGGATCAGAGTTAACTTTACTTCTAGTTTTGAGACCTTTTTGATTTTTATGATTTGAACTTAGAGGTTCACAGTCCTGTGCGTTTGTCTTCATTACTCACATCACTTTATACCCGTGCTTAGAGGATGGAATTAATATGACTTTTATATATTGATGACTTATTTCCTGCATAGAAAGTGGTCGGGGTAGGTATACAAAAAATACAGTTTTGTGCATTTCTAGATTAAGGGGGGAAATCAAGTGAAATTAAGGTGACAATAGAAAATAAGATCTGTAACTAAAATAATAACAGAGTAGAAAAATGAAGCCCCTTTACCAGCCCACTGTAGTTCATGCCTCGGTATGAAAATTAATGCAGATTTTGAAATTGATCCATGTCATACCACCTAAACTCATCTACATTTTTATGCCACTAACTAGTAGTTCAGAAAGAAGGACTTTTCACAAGAGGCATTTTATAAACCAAATGCCCAAGAACTGGAGATTGGAGCTTTGAAAGCACATAGTTTATTTGGCTCTTACATCAGAGTGAGACTAATAGGGTAGGTTTAGGGTGAGCATTCATCAGAATTGCCCAGGAACATCACTGTGGTGTATCTTTTAATGGTGCATAAACGATTTCATGACCATAATAAGTAATTTACATTTCTTTCACTGTTTATACCCAGTTAAAAACACAAAAACATCTTTTTGAGGATAGAAGTGCTTTGTTGGATATAAAATTACACACACGCACACACACACACACGGAGATGTGTTATTTTCTTTAACATCACTTACAGTACTAGTCAGAATTCAAATAATTCCTCATAATACACGGTCCATCTTCAGGAATCAAGGACTTAGGCATTCTCCTTTGACATCACAGACCACAGCTGCTTTTAGAATTAAGCAAGGTGAAACCTCTGTTTCTATGGGACACTCCATCTAGGACTTGCCAGTGTGAAAGCTATTGTCTTTGCATGACCTCTAGACCTTTCTGACCAGAAGTTCTAAATGCCAGTCCAGGGATGTGTCATGTGTAATTCCTGGCAGGATATCATCTATTTCTTCTGGTAGAGTTTTCCCCCGTTGTTGCAAGGAATTTTAATATACTTCAAAGGCCACCTAGCATGCTGGTAGGGAAGATGTGCTTTGGAATAAGAGTGCATTATTTGAACTAAGTGAACATTTTGTTATTTTAAAAGCAAATGAATATGTTGAATGTTTCACATGTTTTCCTAATAGACCTCAAAACTTTTTCTGCAGAACTTAAGGAAGCTGCTTTGAGAGAAGGATAGTATGGTCCAAGAATAATATCCTACAATGCATATTTGTATCCGAAGTGGTTTATACAGGTGTGGGCAAGTGGTGTGTTTGTAAAACTTCTGTTGAATAGGCCACTTTCTTTCAATACAGTAATTACTGTTTAATTGGTGCCTCTAGAAAAACTACAATTCAGTGGCAGTGATCAAATCATCCTCTTCCACTGTGTCCCCATAGAGACTTCTCTGAGGCATCACGTTGTGAATTTAAGGGACATGGAGGGAATTCCAGCGGTGGGAAGAGGGGGAATTGGCCTAGATGAACTTGAGGCTCTGAGATGCTGGTATTAAGTTCTTTTTGAGTCAAAGATTATTTTGATACTTGGCCTTCCCTTCATTAGTTCATGGATGCAGTATTTTCCACATACAAAATAAAGTAGTGATTTGACATTCTGAGGGATACGCCAAGACTTCTAGCTATCGCTGAAGTTTAAATACGTAATTGTCTCTACAGCTGTTTGATTTTCTTCTCAAATCACTTTCCCACCAAATCAGCCTGATTTTGATGCGTATTTTTCACACCACAGCGTCACTGTGGCTCAAGTTTTATGGTCACATTTCTGAAAGAAAAAATGAATTACTGCATATGGAATGGGACATATAGGACAACAGTACAGCACTGAAATGTGGCTGCTGTGTGGCTGGCTGGGTCATTCACTAACTTAGCTCCTTACCTAAACTAGCCTTTTAATAACTGTTATATAAGTTTGTGTCTCAAAGTATTAAGTAATACATGCTGAGGCATTGAAGAATCCTTGTTGGGAATCCCCTCGGTGTCCAGTGGTTAAGACTCCACACTTCCACTACAGGGGGCACGGGTTTGATCCCTGGTCAGGGAACTAAGATCCTGCAAGCCGCATGGTGAGGCCAAAAATAAAAATAAGAGGTTGAATGTATTAAAAAAAAAAAAAAAAAGTGAGCCTTTAAAAAAAAAGAGTCCTTGTTAATGGCCAAACCATAGATACCATACTATAGACTGCTATCATCCCTATACCGTTCTGAGGTAAGAAAATATATTTATTCATTTAAAATATTTATAAAAATATAATTTTATC